TTTTTTTTTTTTTTTTTTCTTGTGCTTAGCTTAGCTTTTAATTTTTATTTTGTTTCCAAAATGTTATATTAATATTTCATTAAACAATCCCATGTGCATGATTAGACAGCATCTGGACTTCCTTTTTATTTATTGAAGATGTTTTACATAATTTAAAATGCTTCTTCAGTTGTGATTATGAAAGGATAGTTTCACACTTGGAAGTTGTATTTGGGATGATTACTTTAAATGAGTCACTGGAGTCGCATGAATCACCGACTCATCTGTCCTTCCTGTGAGTCGGTTGGGTTGTTTTCTGAGTTTACTAATCTGGCCAAGGGAATTTTTGTTGCATGTTTCAAAAGTTCTGAATAGTTTTAAGTTTTGCAACAAGGAGAGTCAAGGCTGTGTTGTATACTTAGTGTACATAACTTTTAACTCCCCCATGTCTTTATATTTTGCTTCAAACTACCGGGCTGTATTATAATCTTTAAAGTTGTCTTGATCTTGATTCTCCAAGGTATCTGTAAGTTTTTCAAACAAAAAAACTGCTTTTTATTATTTTTTTCCAACTAATTTTCAATCTAGTACTTGTACCTAATTATGATAGCAATTTTTTGCAGCGTGTGCTATTTAAAAAAAAATGAATAAACAATGAAAACTACAGTTGGAAAGTGAACAAGTGGCGGGGAAGTGTCAGACCTAATAAGAAAAATACTGCAAAGTAACAGTATTTGAAAGACTTGGAAAAAAAATAGGGGGGAATCTAACGATACAAAGGATGTGAGAGAAGCATCATCAGTCAGTTCGTTTACTGTGTTACACATTTTCAGCTAACAGTTGTATATGATTGCTTTGAGAAATTTTTTTTAAACCAGTCCACTGATTCACAAGATATTTTGCTAACAGTACAGACAAAGGAACACAGAGATGCACACACAGACATGGGTTACATTATCGCCCTTTTGCTTGTGGTGGCAAATAAAGATTATGATAAAGTCTGCCTCACTGGAAGCCAATTGGACATAAGTGGAATGACTCAAAACTTGTACAGTTTTGTAGATGTTGGATAAATAAGACGTGCAGCACGGTGGCGCAACTGGTAGAGCTGCTGCCTCTCAGCGAGCAGGTCCTTGGTTCAAACCCCGGTCCAGGGGCCTTTCTGGGTGGAGTTTGCATGTTCTCTCCGTGCATGCGTGGGTTTTCTCCGGGTGCTCCAGTTTCCTCCCACAGACCAAAAACATGCATGTTAGGCTGATTGGTAACTCTAAATTGTCCCTAGGTGTGAGTGAGAGAGTGAATGGTTGGTTGTCTCGTTTGTCTCTATGTGGCCCTGTGATGAACTTGTGACCCATCCAGGGTGTACCCCGCCCCTCGCACAGTGATTGCTGGACATGGGCACTAGCGACCCCCGTGACCCAAAATGGAATAAGCGGGTAAAGATAATGGATGGATGGATAAATAAGACCTGATGTTTTGCTTTCTTTGCTCTTTTCTTTCATTTTGTTTTGCCTGTTCAACATCTGCACCGCACTGCCCTCAAAAGACTGTCCCTTATCTTAGAGATGTAGGTGGAGAGGTTTAGCTTGACTTGTGGAGAAGACTCTTTTTCTGTCTTGGTGCAAATTACAGTAGTTTGTCTTCTTGCACTGTTTTGGGGTTCAAAGTGCATTGATCTTTTGTATTTAGAGAATAGACCTTCTGAGTTTCTGATTTTTGTATTTTCTTTCCCTTTTCAGATTTTTGGGGTTTTTCTGAATTTCTTAGATTTCTCAAATTAAATGCCTCATTGGAATATATGCACACAGGGTTCCTTTAACGTCTTAATAAGCTTTAAAGCATGGAGTTATCTTTAAAGTTATTTGTAAATCTGGTTAAGTATGGAAGGGTTTGGAAAAGTATTTGCTTTCAGACCTTTATTATGTGGTCTTGTTTCTACTCAAGAGAAAAATCTAACATGGTAAAGAAGTAACTCGGTGACAACAAAAAAGTTTAGATCATGTCATCTGGACCAGTTTCTTTAAGTCAAGAAACGTTTCGTCCCCCATCCGGAAGACTTCGTCAGTCAGAGGCCTGCCAACCAGATTTGTCCCATAAGTAGCCTTCAATGCCGGGTTTCAAGCCAACCTCCTGTTGGGTTCTCAGAAGTAGGCTTTTAACACATGCAAGCAGAGCACACCCATCTAAAACAGTTAATCATCATCAACAATCAAATGTTTTAGGCCGGATAGCCAACTTGCTACTCACAGAAACAGCCTGAGGACAACCAAGGCTGAAGTGGTTCTGAAAAAGGGTTGCAAGCCCAGTCATCCAGTAACGCTGTGTTTTTCACATTATTTATTGACACAAAAGATGGATACAGTCACCACAATGTCATCTTATTTTAAGTGTCTCACTAAACAGTCACAGCTTTAAAGTTGCTGTAGGTGTCTCTGCCTTACTAATGACATTCGCTTTTCAGACCCTTCATAAGCCATGTCTTATTTAAAACTGTGAACCCCAAATTCCTACCATTACAGCACGCCCCCATCAAATCAGATTCAATTTCTTTATAAAGCACTCGTAAATAACCAAAGCTGACCAAAGTGTTGTACAGGTCCTTCTAAAAAAATTAGCATATTATGATAAAGGTAATTATTTTCCATAATGTAATGATAAAAATTAAACTTTCATATATTTCAGATTCATAGCACACCAACTGAAATATTTCAGGTCTTTAATTGTTTTAATACTGATGATTATGGCATACAGCTCATGAAAACCCAAAATGCCTGTCCCAAAAAATTAGCATATCATGAAAAGGTTCTCTAAACAAGTTATTAACCTAACCATCTGAATCAACGACGTAACTCTAAACACCTGCAAAAGATTCCTGAGGCTTTTAAAAACTCCCAGCCTTGTTCATTACTCAAAACCACAATCATGGGTAAGACTGCCGACCTGACTGCTGTCCAGAAGGCCATCATTGACACCCTCAAGCAAGAGGGTAAGACACAGAAAGAAATTGCTGAACGAATAGGCTGTTCCCAGATTGCTGTATCAAGGCACCTCAGTGGGAAGTCTGTGGGAAGGGAAAAGTGTGGCAGAAAACGCTGCACAACGAGAAGAGGTGACCGGACCCTGAGGAGGATTGTGGAGAAGGGCCGATTCCAGACCTTGGGGGACCTGCGGAAGCAGTGGACTGAGTCTGGAGTAGAAACATCCAGAGCCACCGTGTACAGGTGTGTGCAGGAAATGGGCTACAGGTGCCGCATTCCCCAGGTCAAGCCACTTTTGAACCAGAAACAGCGGCAGAAGTGCCTGACCTGGGCTACAGAGAAGCAGCACTGGACTGTTGCTCAGTGGTCCAAAGTACTTTTTTCGGATGAAAGCAAATTTTGCATGTCATTCAGAAATCAAGGTGCCAGAGTCTGGAGGAAGACTGGGGAGAAGGAAATGCCAAAATGCCAGAAGTCCAGTGTGAAGCACCCACAGTCAGTGATGGTCTGGGGTGTCATGTCATCTGCTGGTGTTGGTCCACTGTGTTTTATCAAGGGCAGGGTCAATGCAGCTAGCTATCAGGAAATTTTGGAGCACTTCATGCTTCCATCTGCTGAAAAGCTTTATGGAGATGAAGATTTCATTTTTCAGCACGACCTGGCACCTGCTCACAGTGCCAAAACCACTGGTAAATGGTTTACTGACCATGGTATTACTGTGCTCAATTGGCCTGCCAGCTCTCCTGACCTGAACCCCATAGAGAACCTGTGGGATATTGTGAAGAGAAAGTTGAAAGACGCAAGACCCAACACTCTGGATGAGCTTAAGGCCGCTATCGAAGCATCCTGGGCCTCCATAACACCTCAGCAGTGCCACAGGCTGATTGCCTCCATGCCACGCCGCATTGAAGCAGTCATTCATGCAAAAGGATTCCCGACCAAGTATTGAGTGCATAACTGAACATGATTATTTGAAGGTTGGCATTTTTTGTATTAAAAACACTTGTCTTTCATTGGTGGGATGAAATATGCTAATTTTTTGGGACAGGCATTTTGTGTTTTCATGAGCTGTATGCCATAATCATCAGTATTAAAACAATTAAAGACCTGAAATATTTCAGTTGGTGTGCAATGAATCTGAAATATATGAAAGTTTCATTTTTATCATTACAGACAGAAATGATTAACATAGATACATTAAACTAATGTGTTTTCTGTAATTAGCTTCATGTGTCTTTGATCTTATAATCAGTCGGTTTGTTTATTTAAAAGGTGAAAAATACCGTATTTTCTGCCAACACGTCGCATCGCCCTATAAGTCACCAGTCCAAATATGTCTAATAAAGTGGAAAAATCCATAAATACGTCACATCTATTATGCATCACCGCTGACGCATCGCGTTTGTTACTCGTCATCGCCGACAACTCGGAAACGTAGGTCGATGCTGTGCCAAAAATCGATTGGCTGATAAATGGCGGCTGCGGGAGCGTGCACAGGAGGACTTTAACAATATTAACACTTAAACAATTATTTGTTTGCTTGAAATAATAGCAAAGGTGTGTCTCAGGCTAACTTTTCCTTAATAAATGCACTTTGTTGGTCTAATCAGCTGAATTTCAAAAGCCAATACACAGAAGTAGGAGCGTACATGGGAGGACTCGCTGTGCATTTCTTCAAAATTTAACAAGATAACCACCTAAAACCAATTTTGTTAGCTCGACTTTATAGCAGAGGTGTGTCTCAGTTGAACTTTTACTTAATAAATGCACTTTAATGGTCAAATCATCTTCACTTCGCTGGGGCGGCGCAGCAAAATGAAGATGATTTGACGGTTGCTCCAGGTGAGCTGAACAAAGATGGTAGTCTATGGCAAGCCGATTGTGTCATTAATAGCCACTTTTACCTATTACATGATACAACGACATACCATACAACTCGAGTGCCATCTAGCAGCTGAAAATGGTAGTGTTTAATATTTTCTGTCAGAATGAATGGAAACAGTCATATCTCAGCCAAAAATTGGTTTATAAATATGGGAAAAAAATCCATAAATAAGTCTCTTCGGTCTATAAGTCGCAGGTCATGTAAATTATGTAGGAAACCACAACTTATAAGCCAAAAAATATGGAAGTCACTGTACTGTTTGGTATCATAGTAAGTACCTCACTGAGCATGGACCCCAGAAATCTAAACTGAGAGTTGTCAACAACAGGATAATTAACACAACAAACAGCTAAAAAAAAACAAGAATGGCTAAGAACAAAACATTGGACTGTTCTGAAGTGGCTTAGTTCCTGTTGAACATCTGTGGAAGGATATCCTGATGCATGCTCAATAATCCAGGTAGAAAAATCTAAAAAAGTTAAGTCTGCTCCTCTGGACATTCAAACTGGTTTTGGCTGTCAACAGCAAACTGGTTGATCCACTATGAGAAGGTGCTATTTATAAAACTGAGCTGAATACAGCACCTCAGACTGAAGAAGTCTTTTGGATGAAAGACGAAACGTTTCTTCTTTTTTTGTTTTGCTTTGTTTTGTTTTTTGAATGTCCAGAGTACCAGACTTAACTTTTTTAGATCTGTGGAAGGAGCTGAAACGTGAAGTCTAGAGAAGGAACCCATCACATTTGAGGCAACTGGAGCAGTTTGCTCATGACAAGTGGGACAATGTACCTGTGGACAGGTGAAGCAGTCTCAGAGTTACAGAAATCACTGAATTGCAGTGATTGCCTCAAAGGTAACCAAGTATTAGGTTAAGAGTACCATCCTTTTAGTCAAGATCAATTGCCTTACATCTACCTCTTCTGTGCACTCTGAGGGGGTGGAAGAAATCAAAGAAGGGGACAAAGACACCCTATCCAACACTTAGTGTAGTCTTTGTTTTCCTACTCAGGATATTTCAACACAATAATCATCTTCAAAACACTGATGGATTAGTCATTTGTGTCTCCTATGACTCTTACTTTGTCTCAGCCATCTTATGAGCGTGAAACTCCCAATCCATTATCAGAACTCAAGTCTTTTTGATTGGAGGTAGTGAAATGTCTTTAAGATAACTGTTAACAAGAAAGTAAGTTCAGCTTACTTCGATTCAACCTTTTGGGATCCCATCAACCTAGATGTCTGATAACCTACAGTGACTCAAGGGTTAAATTTTAACTGTGTGTAAGTTTGATTTATTTTAATGTATTTTTCCTCCAGATCCTCTTCCAGAGATTCCACCCGAGCCAGAAACTCCAGAACCACCTTATGTTCCACCATCTCCTGCTTCATCCTCTTCTCCTTCCCATTCTCCCCTCCCTCCCCTCTCTCTCCCCTCGCCTCCACCTCCACAAGAGGAGCAACAGGAGGATTCCCAGCCTTCAAGCCCTGTTGCGCCTACATCTCCTTCTCCATCATCACCGCCACCTCCTCCCCAACCTGCTGCAGTCGCTCAGCCTGCCACTCCTCCTCCAGCCTCCCCTCCTCCCCCACCCTCTACTCATAAGGAGTCTCCCACACCGTCCCCGGAGTCTCCTGCCTCTCCTGAGGAGCCTCCAGCTCCTAAGATCACCTCGCTGCACCTCGCCCAGAAACAAGAAGATGCAGCCATTGTTGGAGAGAGTGAGGAGGACGAGAGCGAGAGTGGAGGAGAGGGCATCTTCAGAGAAAGAGATGAGTTTGTGGTGCGGGTGGAAGACATTCGAACACTCAAGGTATTTCTGCATGAAGATGTGAAACATCTTTAGTTTGATTGTTAACAGTTAGAAATGATGCAACACTTTGTTGACCATGTTTATCTTGATCTTTGAATCCATAAATACGAGTCCTTTTGTTGCAGTAAGTTACAGACGCTTTATTTATTTTTTGCCTGGTTTGTTTGTCTTTCTGCGCAGCTGGCTCTGCAGACCGGCCGCGAACCTCCACCTATCTGGAGGGTGCAGAAAGCCCTGCTGCAGAAGTTCAGCCCAGAGATCAAAGATGGACAGAGGCAGTTCTGTGCTACGAGCAACGTGAGTTCACCCCCAAGCCTGCAGTGGTCTAACCACACCTGCAGACAGTCGTGTTTATGTAAATGCTCTTAGAAGTTTCAGAACTAATGTCACAGTTCTGACATGGTTTGATTAATTTTTTGTTTGTTTCTGGTTTAGTATCTTGGCTACTTTGGAGATGCTAAGAGGCGGTACCAGAGAATATATGTGAAGTTCCTGGAGAATGTCAACAAGAAGGACTATGTCAGAGTTTGCTCTAGAAGACCTTGGCGTCGAACTGCACCGGGCCTCAGGTACAAATGTTCTCTCCCCTTCAACTCTTAGGTTGAGTAAACTGAACATTAATGACTAAAATGGGTCGCTGATAGTTAAATCCTCACCACATGCGAGTCCTGTTAAGTAAACATCAAATTATATTTAAAAAAGAATAAAATAAATGAAAATCTGGATATAATTATACAGTTTTAAACATCTTTTTTCCTATGTCCAACAGGCGACAGTCCCTCTCAAGAATGGCGTCCCCTCCTGCTGCCCAGGCACCACCAAGAGTAGTGGAAAAAGAGGAGCGCATAGCTCCTCTACCAGTCCAGCGTGAACAGAAGGAAAAATCAAAAACGACATTGACAAAAGAACACGGAGAGAAAAAAGAGGCTGCAGCTGCTGTGCCAAAAGCCAAGGAGAAGGAGAGGGACCAGGAGAAGGAGAAGGTAAAGCGTGTACAGCCACAGCAGGAGAAGGTGGAGAAACGAGTGCAGCAGGAGAAGGTGGAGAAACAAGTGCAGCAGGAGAAGGTGGTGAAACGAGTGCAGGTGGAGAAACGAGTGCAGCAGGAGAAGGTGGAGAAACGAATGCAGCCACAGCAGGACAAGGTGGAGAAACGAGTGCAACCGCAGCCGGAGAAGGTGGAGAAGCGCGTACAGCCACAGCAAGACAAGGTGGAGAAGCGCTTACAGTCGCAGCAGGACAAGGTGGAGAAGCGCGTACAGCTGCAGCAGGTAAAAGCAGAGAAGCGAGGGCAGCCACAGCAGGAAAGAGGAGAGAAGCGAATACAACAACAGCAGGAGAAGGTGGAGAAACGTGTGGGGACAGCGGAACGTGGTAGAGCAAAAGACGACAAGAAAACATCAGAAAGGAAAGAGAAGGAAAAGTCTGAACGACCACCCAAGTTCAAGCCACCAAAAGTGAAGGCTGAGCCCCCACCCAAGAAGAGGAAGAAGTGGCTGAACGTACCTTCGTCAGTACCATCATCGTCTGACTCTGACTCATCTGATGAGGCGGCTAGTGAAAATGAAAGTGAGATGGGATTTTGATTATTAGTGCATGAATTTAGTGTTTTTGTAGTGCATAGCTAACAGGTTCGTTGGACAGATTTAAACTGTAGCTTTTACTTTCTCAGTGCCAGTGAAGGGCGGAGTGAACAACCGCGCCATGAGAGAGATGTTCAGGAGCTACGTGGAGATGCTAGTAAGCACAGCCCTAGACCCAGACATGATCCAAGCCCTGGAAGACACAGACGGTGAGAACAGTGCACATTGTCTCTGTATTTTCTTGAATAAGCACCTTTCGCTAACCCAGTGGGTCCCAACCCTGGTCCTTGAGGAACACCATCCTTCATGTTTTAGTTGTTTCCCTGCTCCAACACACCTGATTCAGTGATTTAATTCATTCAACCTTTATTTAGACAGGTAAATCCCATTGAGCCTCGAGGACTCATTTACAAGAGAGACCTGATTTCAACAAAGAATGAAGACAACAATGGACAACAGCGACAACAATACACAGTTATAAAAAGTCATACAATTTCTTTTATTTATTTATTTTTTTACAAATAGGATGGCTAAAAAAAAAAGAAAAGTAACAAAAACAGCTAGATTATAAGGCGAATGTAGAAAACTAAAAACAGGAACCTCGTGTTCCTCGTGTTCTGCAGAAGCTTGTAAATCACCCTTTTATTAAAATCAGGTGTGTTGGAGTAGAGCAACAACTAAAACATGCAAGATGGTGTTCCTCAGGGACCAGGGTTCGGAACCCCTGCTCTAACCTAACCAAACTGGCTTGTCGGTTAGCATGTTTTTATTTGTTTGTTTTTTTTGCAAACAAACAGGTTTTTATTTTTTATTTTTTTCAAGTATGAAGTTGCATCAGGTTAAAAACTACCTTAGCCCAGCTGGACAAATTGTACTTAAATTAGGAGATTTGTTGACAGTTAGGCAATCATATTTGTATCAATCTTTTAATGGGTTTGTCAAATCCATGTGAACAAGGTATGGCAGGTTGGTGAGAAGCCCTGGGAACGTAGCTGCATCTGCAGCCCACAAGACTTTATTTGAATTTTCCCTTGATAATAAAATGATTGGCAGCTGCATGAATGATGACTAATGAAAACCTCCTGTGTCTTGATTGGCCGTCAGATGAGCTCTACCTCCCCCCAATGAGGAAGATTGACAGCATCCTGAGTGACCAGAAGAGGAGGTTGTTGAGGAAAGTCAGCATGAGTTCTCAACACCAGGTAATCTCAACATATTCTGCTCTCCCCTCAGACTACCAAAAACAAACACTAAACCATTTCTCATTCATGTTCTTATGGTGTTTTTTTAAGTTGGTATTCGTTTCTCTAAGAAAAAAAGTTTTTGTAATAAAGCATACATCTTAGTTATAGCTATGTGTCATTTTCTGAATAACTCACCTTTTCCCTGTGCCTTTGACAGGAGGTTCTGCATGCTTACCCCCAAATAATGGCCGACACATTGGGCACAGGAGTAGTGAGGGTGCGACTTAGCGGTGACGCTTACAATCGAAAGACCCTCAACAGAGTCAAGAAGACCCTGCCTAAACCACAGGTAGGGTTGTTTGGTGGCATTTTAGGAGTAAACTAGAACTGGATTTTTTTTTAAATTTTTTATATATATATAAGTTGGGAAGATGCCAAATTATTTTTGGACAAGACGAACGTGCCAATTCAGCACCAATTTCACGTCAGATTTCTATTTACATGTTAAAATTCATTTGTGTTTTCTGTTTTTCTTTTGAGCCAAATATGGCAAGTCTCCTCAGTACTTCCATCACTAAAGAAAACCTTGACTTTCTCATATCGGCAATGTTACATTGCCAGTTTGGTGTCGTATCCTTTTACTGATTTCTGGTTGCACTTTTCACAGCACACACAGCTGATCAGGACAAGGTCTTTTTAACTCATCATGTTTATTACACATTTCACACAACGGCTCAGACCAGCCGTGATAAATGTACACAGATCCAGACTCAACTAATCATATTGGATATAAAGACAAACCTGCATGAGGCTTGGTTCAGGTGAACTTGCAAGGACTCCTTGTTAAATTTAAATTAAAATCCTTAAGATTCTTTAATTTATTTGTGAAATTTTCAGTTTTCTACTTTTTTCCACTGTGTCTAAAATCATTTTATATTAAAAGTATCAGACATGCTTTATCTTATGTGTTGTCAAAGCTAACAAAGAAATCAAATAAAGTGATGTTTGAAGTTTGAAGAATCAAAAGTGAAACCATGACTTTATCAAATTAAATACAGTAAGTAGTCCCTCGCTACTTTGCGGTTCGTTTTTCGCAGACTCGCTCTATCACGGTTTTTCAAAGTAAGATTAGACACGACACATTGGCCGATTGATAAATGAGCCAAATGATCGGCATGGAATTTTTATTTAAAATAAATTATTTTAAAATTATTTAGCACCTCTGCAGCCCACAGCTGCAGGAGAAGCTTCCTCCTGCAGCGTGTCATATCTTCTCTGCAGCAGAGAAGTGGGCGTGGCCAAGAGCGCTTGCAGGAACTGAAATCGTGACATTCTGTGCTCTTTTCGTGTGTTCAGAGTTTAGAAACATTGTTCAGAATATTGCAAGAGTGTGGGAAGGGTTTACAACGTAAGGATGCACGATATTGGATTTTTGGCCGATATGTTAAAACTCTTTTGGACGATACCAATAACGATATTTTTTTCCCCCTAGACCTACTTTCAGATACTACATATCTTTCTCTGCTGTGGAATTAAAATACTTCATTATTCTGCATAATATTTGTCAGTTTGTCCTGCTACCAAATGCAGATGCCAAAAAGGGGACTGAAAATGATGCAGCGCTATATAAATATATAACATGTATTTAAAAAAAAAAAACCCCAGCACCTTTTATATCAGTGAGCTAGTTTGATGGAATGGCCCATGTCCGATATTTAACTTTATCGCTAATATCAGCCGATACCATGCTGATACTATTCCTACTTTGCTGTTTGTCACTTATCGTGGGGCTTCAGGATACGGGTCCCCCACAATAAACAAGTGACTACTGTATATCATTAAATGGTGGGTAACACCTGCTGCAAGTTTCCAAACCTGCTCCACTTTCAGTTTTATTTAAAACCCAGAAAATGTTTACTTTTGTTTGTCTTAGATTAACCTTGATACCACTGGCTCAATCATAATCTTAATTTCTTTTCCACAGGACCTAAAACTGTCATCTGAGATGTACCGTGTGTACAGTCTGTACCACTCTCTGCATCACTATAAATACCACACCTTCTTACAGTGCAAGAAAGAGGTATGAATGCGTTTGTTGGCATTTATTCATTACAGGTTTGTTTATTGAAACAATAATATTTTAATGCTTCATCTGCAAATGCTTGCTCTTTGGCTTTGTGCCTCAGGTTGGTTAAAGTTGTCTATGTTTACATTCCACTTTTCCAGACCAACACCATCGAGCAGGCAGCTGAGGACCCAGGCCAAGAGGAAGTGGTGCAGCAGTGCATGGCCAACCAGAGCTGGCTGGACACCCTCTTTAGCTCCTTTATCGAGCTGCTTACACTCAGCACTAAAGCCTGAGTTAGCCTCGTGAAGAGACCCTGTGAGCTGAAATGGGAGGATTTAAATTAATTGATGGATCCCACTGTACAGCCCCCAGACTCTCTTTAAACCTCTTTCGATCCGAGGACGTTTTGAAGCCTTTGACAAACACGGAAGGGTTTGTTGAGGTGACCTTGGACACTGGCCGTTTTTCTTTTCTTGTTGGATCAGTCGCTAAAGAAACGTCTTTGTGAGAGTTGGACCCCAGCAGATGAGGGGCTCACCGGAGGCTCAAGAGAGAACTGATCATTGATGAAAATGGGGAGCTACATTTTTGGATGGACATAAAGGAGGAGCCGTAACGCCAAGTCGAAGGAGGAGCCACTGACGTCTTGTTACATGTGTGTCATAAAGACAATAGATCAGAGAAAAAAATGCTATTACTGCTTAGTTTTTACATAAATTATTTTTTTGAAAAAAACTAACATCAGCTGTCGGCTTTTGAAAAGAGTGGAAGAAGGCGAGAATGCTTTTTAAACTGCGTGTAGAGTGTGCCGTGAGCAGCGTGATCATGGGCACGTCCAGGAATAAAGAAAGTGTTAAACGCTCCCTCTCTCTGTTGTCGTATGCAGGGCAGCACCAGTCAGCTGTGTGATAATATATAAACACATTTTTATTATTTATATAAGGAGGTTTTTAACTTAAACTCTCACAAGCGCTGGTTTGCTGTCCTAACATTTTAAAAAGCTTTTTATTTTCCACAGGATCAGTATACAATCATAACCCACATATCCAAGTTGTCTTCCCCTCTATACGAAAAGAACAGACCTTGAGACAGAAATATTGTATTAAATACAGTGGGTGTAAAATAAAGAAAAAGACGAGCAAAAGACAAAAAAAGAATGGCAAAAAAGTTATTTGAAACTTAACATTGTTGTGCTTCAGTTCAATCATCATTCATGCAGGTGCAAAGAAAAAACTATCCCTTTCCCATATGGGAAGGAGGAGTATAAATAAGTAATATTTAAAGAGAAAATAGTCATTTCATTTTTATCATTTTGATGTCTGTGCATACTATGACTTATTTTGAAAAACAATCCAATTTTCCATAAAAAAGGAAAAAAAAAGATGTGTAAATATTGTACAGTTCTTGATGAAATTCTTTGTCCTTCTGTACATTAACTCCTGTATTTGAAAAACGAATAAAACCTACAAAGAACAAATGCTTTGATTTCCTTACTTCGTGCGTGTGGTTGTGTAGTCCTTCCCATCAAACTAGTAAAGATTGCACACGTTGCTGGTTTTCTGGTAAAAGCTTGTCAGTCAGTTTGCTCTTGTGTGTTATTTGTGTATTTTCCTTGTATAGTGTTGTGGTACTCATTTAATGAGATAAAAACTGCCAGAAGTATAGGTGTTTAGAATTTTGATGTCGAGTTTCTGTCACCTCTGCAAAATTCCAACTTCAGGGGGCATTGTGGGTTTTTTTCAACTTGGAACAATTTTGAGAGCAAACTGAACATACCGTTGTGTATTGACTTGATCCTGAGTATCACTGGTTGAAGTACTGAGTTTGCTAATAAGCCAATAAAATAAGGATGTATTGAAAACACAAACTCCCTCAACATTCGTTGCACTGTTTTGTATTTCTGATCACTATATCCTAACAGATACGGTAAAAAAATATGTTAACTTCTTGAGATCATCTCAAGAACCCTCTAGATTTTTCCTGACCCACAGAGGGAACCATAACTTTGAGAACCACTGGCTTGGATGATTTTTTGAAATTAGGAACTTATTTTCTATATGGTGGGGAAATCTGGAGTGGCAGAGAAGTATGTCAGACTGGTACAGGACATGTATGAGGACAGCAGGACAGTGGTGAGATGTGCTGTAGGAGTGACGGATAGCTTCAAGGTGGAGGTGGGAATGCATCAAGGATCAGCTCTGAGCCCCCTCTTGTTTGATCTGGTGGTGGACCAACTAACAGATGAGGTCAAGCAGGAATTCTTGTGGACTATGTTTTCAGATGACATTGTGTTCTGTGGTGAAAACAGGGAGCAGGTGGAAGAGAACTTGGAGAGGTGGAGGTATGCACTTGAAAGAAGAAGAATGTAAGTCAGCCGTAGTAAGACAGAGTACATGTGTGTGGTGAGAGGGAGGCCGGTGGAACAGTGAGGCTACAAGGAGCAGAGGTCACAAAGGTGCAGGACTTCAAGTACTTGGGGTCCACTGTCCAGGAAAATGTGGAATGTGGTAAAGAGGTGGAAAAAAAGAGTTCAGGCAGGATGGAGTGGATGGAGAAAAGTTTCAGGAGTGATTTGCGACAAAAGGGTGTCAGCAAAGGTCAAAGGAAAAGTTTACAAGACAGTGGTGAGACCAGCTATATTGTATGGTCTGGAGACAGAGACATGGACAAAAAGACAGGAGAAAGAACTGGAAGTGGCAGAAATGAAGATGTTGAGGTTCTTCTTAGGAGTGACAAGGCTGGATAAGATTAGGAATGAGATCATCAGAGGTACAGCAACAACTGGGAGCTAACGTTGGAGAGGCCAGACTGAAATGATGTGGACGTGTCCAGGGGAGGGACAGTGGGTATATTGGTAGAAGGATGTTAGAAATGCAGCTGCCAAGAAAAAGACAAAGAGGAGATATGTGGAGTTGGAGTGAGGACAGAGGATGCAGACAGAGTGAGATGGAGGAGAATGACTCACTGTGGAGACCCCTGAAGAGGGAAAAGACAAAAGAAGATTTTTCATATGGTGGGGCTAAATGAGCTTTAGGTCATTTATTGAGAACAGTGTACTGTTTTTCAAAGACTACTTCTACAGTATTTAAAAAATAGTCATCCTTTTTTTTTTTTTAGTTTTTATCATCATTACAAACGTGTCTGCCAGGGGTATATTAACAGGTACATAGGTAATAATATTCAAGTATAAAATAGAACAAGATAATTATAAAACGGTACAGAAGGTAACACAATTCTAAAAAAGATACAAAACAATCTATTTACAGGTTATATAGATACATTCACATTACGTTTTTTCTAGAACTGAGATGGTTTTCATTGCCTTTTTGTTTTCAAATAGTGGTGCTGTAGTAAAGTTCCTTGCTGAAGTGGGTTATACTTGGCTTGGAGTTTGACCACTTTTTCTTGTGAATGTGAAATTTTCCCAGGAGAAGTAGAAGTTGGGTGAAGTAAATCAAGTCTTTATCCATATCTTTATCGTCGAAGCACAATACAATGTCTTTCTCTGTAAAGTGAACTATTTGTCCAGTTTTCTGTCGTATGAGTTATTGCACATATATCCAGAATACCTTTGTATGATTACAATGATAGAATAAATGAGAGATTGTTTCCATGTGTAGTTCACAAAATGTGCAAGAGTAGTCAATTTCAAGTTTAAAAATTCCCAGTGTTTTTTAACAGGGTTATTGTTTTTATATGAAACCTCTTTAACTTTATTTGTTATGCAATTTTTCCCCCCATTTAACCAAACTTATTTCCAATTAATTGCTCCAAATGTAGAGGACCAAAAACAATCTATAAAAAATAATAATCTAAGGGGGTTCTGTAATATCTGACTAGGTCCCCACAAGTGAACAAATACAAGTGGACGTGTGTGTGTTTTTTGCCCCGCCTCTCGATGACGTCACATCAGGAAAAACGAAACCGACAAGTCGGAGTTTCCTGAGAACTCTGTACTATTGCTGCAAGACAAGTCAGGAGTCAGTCGGCGACCCTTCACTCAGCTTCAGTTCGTCGGAACCCAGCTACAGCCGACATATTTCGAGTTTTTGATTTCGAAAACGAGCGCTAGTCGCGAGCTTTACTGTTTCATTTACTGCATCGAAGAAAAACTGCAGGAGGTAAGAGTTTTATTTACTTTGCGTCTGGATAGAAAAGTGGAAAAAATACACTCTGAACGGAGAAAATCTGCAGTTATTTTACTTTTAAATAGCTTTAGGTTTACAACCGTGATTAAGTTATAGTTTTAGGTTGGATATTGGATTTTCGAGCTCCGCCGTTTCAGCGGAATCTTCCTCCCGGTTTGAGCCGACTCGGGCAGTCTTATTTCGGGCAGCTCCCCTCTGCCTGCTCCCTCCTCCGAACCGCAGCGGTTCTTAGGGACTGTCAACAAATTACCAAACACTCGGAAAATAAATAAAATAAATATATATAT